GATATTGTACTCTTTATCAGTCAGCTTACAAGTTAAATCAAAATATGTTACATCCCTACCCCTACTAAACATTGGCTCTTTCACATGTTGGTGATTTATTTATATGATACCCATAAACGCTGAAAAAGATTAACATATTTTCTAAAAATATCCGACTTTAAAAGAATATGCTCGTTTGTTTTTTAAAAATCGAAAACTGCTATACCATACAGAACATTTTTCTCATCATTTTGGATGCAATATCGATACGAAATACCCGAACATGGAGTTGCAAGAGTTTTTGTCAAAAATCAACTCACATGTTTTCCTTTACAAGGAGAAAAGTTACATTAGTTAATATAAATTACTTTCATCATGTTCATAAAATGTTTTAAGTGTGGCATAATTTTGCCAAAGCAATTCAACACGATTTAAAAGTTACTGTAAACATTGAACAAAAGGATGAATGGTTGACGTACCAGACCGGCGAAAACCAATATAAGAAAACACATTGAATAACCAAGTTCCAAAAGACAAATATTAATTATTTAGATTAAAGAAGCATTTTTGCAAATAAAGAATTCTACACATATGAAATCATTAAAAAGAACATTAGTTTTTTCTCTTGAAAGTCCAATTAGTGATGAAGGAGTAATTGAAAATGGCACATTTTATACTTTTTACAGATATACGAATATAGCAGATCCTATCTCAAACAATTTGAAGATTCTTTTTTTAATTTAACCATGAACTTCAATTGGCATAATTGCACAAACCTATTCTTACTGAATGGTTGGGTTGGCACCATCACATTTCTGATTGCGCAAACACCATATCGGTGGCTCCATCACATTTGAATTTATTGATTTACCTTTTCTTACTTTAATATATCTCATAATTTTATATTCATAAACTTCATTTCTTCAAGTGATAAGCGTGTTACATGCTCTAAAACAATTATTTAAACAACAGATATTTTTAGAAACTGTGTTTACCTTCTCCAGCAATGTTTTGCATTAAACACATTACCAAAAGAGCCACCGTTTAGTATGGGTGTGTTTAGATTGATCGGGTGTTAAATTCGCACATACAGCAAGAGTTGTGATTTTGTCTGACCATGCTTTAAGAGCTTATCATAACCTTTTATAGTCATTTGAATCAAGTTAGATATCAAAACTAAATTGCATTTATTTGATTGTACTGTTGCTCCATATTATTATGTGGTTCTTATAAAATGAAAGAAATCGACCTGCTGGATATCGGATTGTGCTTAAATATTTTGGGAGTACCAGATTTGCATGTGTATGGAGAACTTTTAAAGATTAAAAGATATAACATTATAGATGTTTAAGGCCAATTTCTTGCCCTTTAATCAAAAAGTTTCTTTTCTGCTTTCAACTAATAGCAGACTGGAGCAATGATGTCTGAATACATAAAAATGAAACTTTTAGGTCATAGTACTCATACTCTGAAAGAACGTTGTATAATTATAAACAATCTGAGTGTAGACACACATTATCTTGGTTTTGAACATATTCAAGTGGCAAATTTAAGCATATCCGAGTACTATGACACTTGTTTAATATTCATACGAGACTGTACTTAATCTTAAACATAGCCTTCAATTTATTTCGGTATATACATATAATAATGATAAAACAACATTAATAATAATAACTACTTGGATTTATGACAATGTTATGTAACCTTTTACAGCATCATCCAATGTAATCTGCAGTAGATCTAGGCCTATTATTACAAATCGTGAGGTGTCAAGAGAAGACCATTAATTTATTATTACACCTATGGTCATTTGAAAAATGTGGTGATTATGAATCATTCAAAGTTTGTAAAAAGTTGCTTAAATGCGTTTAAGGGTTTATTTCTATAAGGTAAGATTTATATTTCTATAAAATGATATCTTTTTATAAAATGTTACCATGGTAACCATGAAAACTGATGGAAATTTCAATATTTGCTAACATCACACTTTCTATTATATGTATTTCAGAGAAAACAAGTCAGTCAACAACACAACAAATAAAAAAAATTGGAAAATAAATTATCAGAAATAAACGCAATTTTAGAGATGTAAATTTTAGCTGAATTTAATTATACCCCACCCGTTTAAAATCATAATGCGTCCATAAGAGAAGTGTCCATAAACATTAAAATTGACATAAATGATAAGAGTTGAAGTTGTATTTTTGCACAAAAGTATAATATGGAAATAAAAATTGAAATGTGTTGTCATGGAAATGAAAATTTATATTAAATTTAATTTTTAGGTCATTTTTAATACATTTTCCATGATATTCTTTCAAATATTTTATATTTCTCCCATAAAAAGTGATCAAAAACCAATTTAATTTACAATAAACATGTGTTTTCTATCATATTTATATGTAAAGACAAAAGTGACTTAGAAATTCTTTTAAAGAATTGCCAAATAATGATAATTAATGTTTTTGCGAATTTTGGCGGCCATCTTGGACGCCATCTTGGATTTCTTGATTATCCGACCATAAGGATTAAAATGAAATATCATTTCGTATTCTACGAACCATTGTGAACATTTTGGTATATAAAACTTACTGTTCCTAGACATAGACTGGTAGGGTCCTACTAACCGGTCCTCGTTTCCTACACTATATGGCCCTTTGTTGATTTTTTCACTATATACTATGTAGAAATTTTGTGAACGCAACTCCTCTTAAACCGGATGGAAGATTTTGATTAAACTTCCAAGGATGAACAACCTTAATGTGTAGATGGTAGTAAAGGAAGGAATTTTTGCTGCGACCAAATTTAACAGAATTATGGCCCTTTGTTGATTTTTTCACTATATACCATATAGAAATTTTGTGAATGCAACTCTTCTTAAACCGGCTGGCAGATTTTGCTTAAACTTCCAAGGATGATCAACCTTAATGTGTAGATGGTAGTAAAGGAGGGAATTTTTGCTGCGACCAAATTTAACAGAATTATGGCCCTTTGTTGATTTTTTCACTATATACCATATAGAAATTTTGTGAACGCAACTCCTCTTAAACTTGTTGGCAGATTTTGCTTAAACTTTCTGGGATGAACAACCTTATTGCGTAGATGGTAGTCAAGAAAGGAATTTTTGCTGCTACCAAATTTAACAGAATTATGGCCTTTTGTTGATTTTTTCACTATATACCATATATATGTTGTCAGTGGGGGCATCCGTGTCCTTTTGACACAGTTCTAGTTTGACTATCAGTTTTCAATTTAATTAAACAAGCTTGAATGTCAGCAAATGATGCAATATACATTAAACTGTCAAAATCACACAACACTAAACATATTAAAGATAAAAATGAATTGTGAAATGTCCGTCTGCTAAGCTAATTAGGAAGAGCATCAGATTTGTAATCAAGGGTTGCTTGTTCAATCCTTGGGCACTGCTGATTAAGAAAGCATGTGGGATTATTCTGTCACTTATAGAGAAGATTGTAATTGCTGATAAGCTATCTGGTGAATCAATATTCTCATGGATTTTTTCTAAATTATGGCATTTTTTGAATTCCAAATATGTTTTTTTTTGCAACATCAATCTTCATAATTAGTCCCCTACCGGTTTAACCGGAGGGGACTTTAGGTTTACCCTCCGTCCGTCTGTCCGTCCGTCTGTCCGTCTGTCTGTCCGTCCGTCAGTCTGTCCGTCCACAAAACTGGATCCCGCGATAACGCAAAAAGTACTGAAAATATTTTTATGAAACTTGATATATGGATAGATGGCAGTATGGAGATTATGCACGTCTTTTTTTTTTCTTCCTATGTTGAAAATTCTGGTTGCTATGGCAACAAATAGTCTGAAAATATGGCAAATTTAACACATAAACTGGATCCAGTGATAACTCAAAAAGTACTGAAAATATTTTTATGAAACTTGAAATATGGGTAGATGGCAGTCTGGAGATTATGCACATCTTTTTCTTTTCTTCCTATGTTGAAAATTCTGGTTGCTATGGCAACAAATAGCCTGAATTTCAAGATTTCTGATTTAAATTTTTCAGCTTTTTCACTATATGTTCTTTATTTCTTAAGGTGTTTACTTCAAACTTTAAATATAAGTTCCTGGTCATCAACCACATCATATGTGACAAGGTTTATAACTCTAGCACAAAAAATATCAATATTACCTTCCTTGAACTTAGATTTTTTAGGGGAAAAAATGTTGTCTTTTTTAAATAACTTCTTTATTTCCTAATGTATCTACTTCAAACTTCATATATATGTTTCTTATTATCACTCGACATTTTTGAGAAGGTTAAATACTCTAGCAAGACTATTTCCAGAATTATGTCCCCCTTGAACTTAGACTTTTTTCGAGAAACTGGTATTTTTACTCCAACTTCTTCATTCCTTATAGGATTTACTTTAAAATCCCACATCGTTATAATATGACAAGGTTGTATAAACATAATTTCCTTACTAAGCATGGAAACTTAACACATTACTGTGATATAGACAAACTTATTTTATTATGTTTTGTGGTCGATATTTTCAAATACAGACTTCATCCTCAAATTCATTATAAATGGCAATACACAGGAGTGTATGACAATTAAAGAACTTTTTGAGGGACCGGTAGGGGACTACTGTATTGCCCGCAATACTATCAAATGCTTGTTATTGAAGGTTTTCATTTGAAACTAATGCATGTCTTTGGGATCATAATTGGAAGTCGGTATCCAAGGCCGATGACATGGAATTTGTCTGAATTATGGCCTATTGTAAATTTAGAAAAGTTTTTGTTTAAGTTTCGCTTGCAACATTAATCTTTCATAAAACTACTTATTGTATTCACTTGCAACCTGATTCCTGCTTTTTGAATTACAATTTATGATCACTTTCTACGACCCATAACTCTGGCATGGATTTTGAATGAAATAAGGTCCTTTGTGAATATAACAAAATTTTTGGGTCTATAACTTATAACTATATCATTTGTATTTCTATGAATTAAATCTTTCTCTTTGTTATTTCCTACATTATCCAGGCCTTAATTTTACTATCATGTACAAAGAATGGTCATGCATGCTTTCCTATCATGTTCTGTTTTCAGCAAAATTTTCTATTGATCAATGTAGAAATCATTCTACATATATGAATCTTTGCAGCATTGTTACTGTTACGTATGTTCAGAGATTGAATGTAAATTTGGAGGGCATCATCATAGCGTTTCTCTTGCTCCATGCATTGCCCTAGTAAATTGAATGCTGTTTCTCTGTGTCCAAGGTTTAGCTCTGTTTTAACAGTTACATCCAACTTTAAAAGTGCTTCTCTTTGTTCTTGCTTTTTCTTGAGATGTCCATATATTTTGTATCTAAGAAAATATAGATAAGGGAGAGAATCCACCACGATCCAGTCCATCCAGCGGTCATCACTTTTTCTGTGTTTCTTATCTTCTTCTGTGGATCTGAACATTTCATAGATAAGTTCATGGGGAACACATTTGGCCTCAGTTGGCAGGTATCTAACGCAAAATGATGTGATATCTTTGATTAATTCTTCATTGCCTGTGTCTGCTTTTTCTGCAAATCCATCCCGTATTCTTTGTACTTTGTGGTCGTTGCATTTGCATACAATTTCAACAAAACATGTGTCATATTTTTGTTCTATTTGTTTGAGAATATTGTTTGACTCCACCAATGCACCAGAGCAGTATAAAGCAGATGCAAGCTTCAGTTTTCCAGATGACACATCTGAATTTGAACCTTCAGAAAACATGTCTAGTGTTCTTTTGATATAGCTTTCTTGTCCTCAAGCTCATTCGATGCCATAGTTGATGCTAATGATGAACACATGAAAGGTATGAGGAGTTTGTATGCTGACTTTTCAAGTTCATTCTCTGTTTTATGGCAAAGACCTTTCAATGTAGACACAGCAAATGTAAAGCATATTTGTGATCTGGAACGATCATATAGCATCATATCCCGTAAAAGGCTCTTGTGACGAATACTTAATTGTGCTGCAATATATCTCAAAAGCTGCTGTGATATTGTTTGGCAAATATTTCTTGGATGAATCAAGGTATTTTCTAAATTGCCAATTTTTTCAGATGCTTTTAGTTTTACAAATAATCTAATGCCAAGGCAGTCACAAGATATTTTAAGTAGATGCTTTATTAAAGTGTTCTGAAGCTCAGTTAGATCTGCAACAAGATTATTTTTCAGTCCTTCTGAAATTTTCCCTGCAAGCAAATTGTTTCCAGGTATGATAAAATGTGGACATTCTTCTGCCATGACAAAGACTTTCAGAAGATGTAGGCAAGATGTTAAACACTGAATTAAGTGATTCTCATTCCATCGTAATGAACTTTCATTATGTATGCAATGGAAAAGGACAGTTTTACATATGTAGCTTGAGATAGTTTTGGGATATTTTGGTTTAATGAATGTCTTGATTATCATCTTCATCAGGACATAACATCTCATTTGTGTGATATTTAAACTGAACATTAGGCATCTCTCAGCCAGACAAGTTGATATTCTCCATTCTAGGTCCTTGTACTGACTGTGTTTGCTGCTCACTGGTACAATGGTACAGCCTGTAGCCTCACATTCTCTTTTTATATCTTCTGCAGGCCAACCTTCTTTAACAAAACAAGCTTCCTTTGGCCAATCATTACAATGCCATGCTATTACATTATCTTCATCATTTTGAGCTGGATTTCCACAAAAGGAATGTGCAGGGCCATTCCTTTCATTATAGACAACTACTTTGTCATTAAAACAAGTGTTCTTCAACAACAATCGCCCTTTCCCATCTTTAAAAAAATCTCGTTCATCAAATGTTGTATCAGGATACGGAAACGAAATATTGCTTGATTGAACTTGTAACAAGCAATGGCTAGGAGCTGTGGTTTCATTTTGGACCATAAGTACATTCTGTGCACCGTCAATTCTGTTATTCCAATCTTGAATCACAATTAAATCATGATAACTGAAAAGAGTATCAATATCTAAATCAAGCTCGACAGTTGTTGATCCTTCTGACTGACTTCCCAGATTGTAGGTGGTTATTTTCTTTGACAGAATTCTGAGAACCGATGTGTCGACAACCTCCATTATCTTAAAGGACTTCCGTCTTTTCCTTATCACATTTCTGGTTAGTCCTATATCAGCCATGACCTCTGATAGTTTTACTGAGATGAATTCAGACGTAACCCCTGATAGGTCATGTGCCATAATTTCTGCCAGTTGGTCTAATAGATGCAGTGACATTCTGGAATAATGAAATCATTTTTAAGTACATAAGTGAATATTGTGGCATAAATGTATAACAATTATTCTTTACCATGATACATTTCTTTTCACAATATATTTTGAATAACAAATGAAGTTTATTATACCCTCACAAACAAAGTTAACAGTGTATATAGTAGTCAGCTTGTTGGCCAGTCAGTGAGCATGTTCAACTGAACAGGGATAGGGGGTGGGGGGCATCAAACTGTAAACAGAACAGAAGAGAACAAAGATATCATTCAGTAACAAAAGAGTAAGGGGCCATTAGCCTGCTATTAAAAAAAAAATAACACAAGAAATGGACCTTGTTTCATTTTGACCATCTGTCTATTAGCAGTTTTCATTCTGGTCTGTATCTTTTGAAATGGTTGAAGGAAATTGAAGCTACTTGACAAAAATGTTAGCCTTAATGAGACGATGTGCAGAGGGCAGGTTTGACCTTCCTCTGGTCAATGTCACACTTAGTTATTTTGTTTCAATTTCAAAATTTCATGTCCATTCTTTATCTGTTGAACTGATAGAAAGAAGTTAAAACTTTTTAGCAGAAATATAACTTATAATGAGGCCATGTACAGAACTTAGGTTTGGTCTTTTTGAGATCAAAATCGGATGGGATTGCTTTTTAGCTCACCTGTCACAAAGTGACAGGGTGAGCTTTTGTGATCGCTTTTCGTCCGTCGTCCGTCAGTAAACTTTTACTTTAAATGACATCTCCTCATAAACCACTAAGCCAATTTCATCCAAACTTCACAGGAATGATCCTTTGGTGGTCACTCAAAGAATTTAATTCCATGCAGAACTCTGGTTGCCATGGCAACCGAAAGAAAAAACTTTAGATATCTTCTTTTAAAAAACCATAAGAGCTAGAGCTTAGATATTTGGCATGAAACATCTTCTAGTGAATGTCTACTAAGTTTGTTCAAATAAAAGCCCTGGGGTCAAAATTGGCCCTGCCCCGGGGGGTCATTGATTTTCCCTATATGCATATAGTAAAAAATTAAAAATTCTTCTTTTAAAGAACCCAAAGAGCTAGAGCTAAGATATTTAGCATGAGACATGTTCTAATAAGTGTCTACCAAGTTTGTTCAAATAAAAGCCCTGGGGTCAAAATTGGCCCCGCTCCGGGGGGTCATTAATTTTCCCTATATGCGTATAGTAAAAGCTTAAAAAATCTTCTTTTAAAGAACTCAAAAGAGCTATGGCTAAGATATTGAGCATCAAACATGTTCTAATAGGTGTCTACCAAGTTTGTTCAAATAAAAGCCCTGGGGTCAAAATTGGCCCCGCCCCAGGGGGTCATTGATTTTCCCTATGTGCATAGAGTAAAAACTTAAAAAATATTCTTTTAAAGAACCAAAAGAGTTAGAGCTAAGATATTTAGCATGAAACATGTTCTAATAAGTGTCTACCAAGTTTGTTCAAATAAAAGCCCTGGGGTCAAAATTGGCCCTGCCCCGGGGGGTCATTGATTTTCCCTATATGCATATAGTAAAAACTTAAAAAATCTTCTATTATAGAACTCAAAGAGCTATGGCTAAGATATTTAGCATCAAACATGTTCTAAAAGGTGTCTACCAAGTTTGTTCAAATAAAAGCCCTGGGGTCAAAATTTGCACCGCCCCGGGGGTCATTGATTTTCCTTATATGTGTATAGCAAAATCTTAAAAAATCTTCTTTGAAAAAACCCTAATATCTATATTTAAGATATTAAGCATGAAACATCTTTTAGTGAGTGTCTACAAAGTTTGTTCAAATAAAAGACCTGGGGTCAAAATTAGCCCCGCCCCGGGGGTCATTGATTTTCTTTATTTGTGTATAGCAAAAACTCAAAATCTTCTTTGAAAAAACCCAAATAGCTAGAGTTTAGATATTAAGCATGAAACATCTTCTAGTAAGTGTCTACAAAGTTTGTTCAAATAAAAGCCCTGGGGTCAAAACTGGCCTGGCCCCAGGGGTGTCATTGTTTTTCTTTATATGTGTATAGCAAAAACTTAAAATCTTCTTTAAAAAAGTCCAATGAGCTAGAGCTTAGATGTTTAGCATGAAACATCTTCTTATGGGTGTCTACCAAGTTTGTGCAAATAAAAGCCCTTGGGTTAAATTGGCCCTGCAACGTTTGGGGGTTGGGGGGTTGGGTGGGCCTATATACAGGTGAGCGACCTCAGGGCCATCATGGCCCTCTTGTTTAAAGACTTGTATAGGAAAACGCATTTAAGTCTTCTTTTGTTTAACAACAATGCCAAGAAATGTAGCATTGCCTAGTGGTCCTCCATGAAAGTTATACAAGTCAAGACCCTAGGGTAAAAATTGCCCCCTGGGTGTTGCTTTGTTTACAAGTCTAGTAAAAATGCCTAAAAATCTTGTTTGGGAGAACAACACCAAGAGTTTAAAAAGACATGTACTATAGTTTAAATCTTCTGTGAAAGTACAATGACGAGAGCTTAGATATTTTGCATGAGGCATCACATTGTGGTCCTCGAGAAAATTTAAATAAATTATGTCCCTAAGGTTACAAATGGTCCCACTCCTTAGTCGGTAAGCTTATAAAGACTTATATAGTCAAAATAGATTAAAAAATAAATCTTCTTTAAAAGTACAATGCCAAGAGTTTAGATATTTTGCATATAGCATCAACTTGTGGTCCTCCATAAAAGTTATTTAAATTATTTACCTTGAGATCAAAATTGACACAGCCTAGGGGTGGTCACTTAGCTTACATAGGCTTGTATGAGAAAATACATTTATGTCTCAGTCTGTGAAACTGCACTGCCAAGAGCTTAGATATTTGTCATTAAGCATTAATAGTAACAGATTTCTGCAAATATTTAAAACATTATGATGCTTTGGATTTAAAAAAAAAAAGACAAATCCAATATGACTTCATTACTAAAATTGTATCAATGTATCTCAGGTTAGCGATCCAGGGCCATCATGGCCCTCTTGTTTGTAAAATATCCACTAGGAAATACTACATGCAAAATATCTTTACTGTAGACCTTATGGTGAAGATTTAGTTTTTTTTCTCTATATTATTCTATTATTATTTCTATATGTAAATCTGATAATTCTTTTGGTTGCCATAGCAACCGAGTATCTGACAACAATCCTGTTGTTTGGTTGTAAATCTGACTTTTGATTTTTGAGAAGACTTTTGAAATATATACCATCTAATCTATATAGCAGACAAACAAACGCAGACAAAACAATCGCTAGATGCCTTCAATCATAAATATTGCATTGGCATAAAAAACAAACAAAAATACAACAAATTTAATAGCATGAATAATTACCTTCTTATAGGTAAATTTCAGTATCGAGTCCCAAATCCTTCAAATTATAATGACTTTGAAATATACCTGTTTGTTCCAGATTAGATTTTTATTTTTATCTAATAAGAGGTTAAATTGGATAGATACAAAGTTATGTTACGTCTTTTGTCATACACATGTACTAGATTAGATAAATGCATTAAAGTCCAAAGTGCAGTTTCGTTTAAATTATCAGTTGTTTAGCTAGTAATTTTTATGCATATGAAAAAAAACATTATATTCTCTAAGAACATTTTCTAAAAGGGCGATGGGGGTGTTAAGTATTTAGAAAAAAAGGTAAATATTGTCAAAATAAAAAGAATGTTTGCTGTTTTTTTTTCTGCTGGGTCATTTTTAATGGAAGAACAAGCTATCCGTCTGTTAGCAGGTTTTCTTGTCAGGTCTGTATATTCTTTAACAGATGGAGGGAAACTGAAACTACTTGGCAGAAATGTAAACCATAATAAGACAATGTGCAGAGTACAAGTTTGACCTTTCTGAGGTCAAGGTCACACTTAGTCATTTTGTTTCACGATTCGTTCTGTATCTTTTGAACTGATAGAAAGAAATTAAAACTCTTTGGTAGAAATATTTTTTATATTGAGACAGTGTGCAGAACACAAGTTTGGACTTCCTACGATTAAAATTGGCCCCACCCCGGGGATTAATTGATTTATATACACCTACATAGGAGTTTTCGTGTCCGTTCTGTACCTTTTGAACTGGTGGAAAGAAATTCAAACTACTTGGCAGAAATATTCACAGACGCTTGAACATGATATGCCCCTGTTAACACTGTATTTGAAATATTATAATATTTAAACATGAATTGGACATCTGTTACAATGATAAAACTGGTTTGAAAACAATTTTTACAGGGCCGTGTCACATTGGGGGACAATATCTGATCCCCAAGCGTCTGTGGAAATAGTAACCATAATGAAACGATGTGCAGAGCGCAGGGTTGACCTTTCTCAGGTCAAATTCAAGGTCACACTTAGTCAATTTGTTTCAAAATCAAAATTTTGTGTCTGCTCTGTATCTTTGGAACCAATAAAAAGAAATGAAAACTTCTTGGCAGGAATATTACTTATACATGTATTAAGACGGTGTGAAGAACCCAAGTTCGGACTTAGAGATCAAAATTGACCCCGCCCCAGGGATTAATTGATTTATATAGACTTATATAGAAGTTTCGTGTCCGGTCTGTATCTTTTGAACCGGTGTAAAGAAATTGAAACTACTTGGCAGAAATGTTACTCATAATGAGACGATGTGCAGAGCCCAGGTCTGACCTTTTTCAGGTCAAGGTCAAATATAGTCATTTTGTACCAATTTTAAAATTTTCTGTCCACTCTGTATCTTTGGAACCGATAGAAAGAAATTAAACTTTTGGCAGGAATATTACTTATATTAAGACGGTGAGAAGAACACAAGTTTGGACTTACAAAGATCAAAATTGACCCTGCCCCAGGTATTACTTGATTTATATAGACTTGTGTAGGAAAACACATTTAAGTAATATTGAGTGAAACAACAATGTCTAGAGCTTAGATACTTAGCATGTAGAAATGCCTTATTAACCTTTACAAAACTGATACGAATCATGCCCCTTGGTTCATTATTGGCCCCGTCCCAGCAGTCACTTGATTTATAAAGACTTATGTAGGAAAAACACATATACAGACTTATTGACTACGTTGCCCAGAGAGCTTAGATATTTAGCATAAACACATTTAAGTTTTATTTTGGTGAAATCATTGCTTAGAGTTTAGATATTTGACATGTAGCATTGCCTTATTGTCCTCTACAGAGCTGGTATTACTCATGCCCCTTGGGTCAATGTTGGCCCCGCCCTATTAAGTCTTGTATGAGAAAACACATTTCAGTCTTATTTTGTGAAAGCAGAATGCCAAGAGCAAAGATTTTTAGCATGTACCATTACCTTGTGAAATTTATGTTATTTATGCCCCAGGGGTCAAAATTGGCCTACCTGGGGTCACTTGATTATAGCAAAACACATTGTCTGATTGTGTGAAACTACAGAGGCCAGAGCTTAGATATTTGGCAGCATCAATTTGTAGATTTCTACAAAAATATATTAACCATGACCCTCAGGTCAAAATTTTCACTTACTTTAACTAGACTAAGGAATACACATTTCTTTGTGGATAAATATTATACCTCTATATACATGTATGTGTAGCATATAGCATTGCCTTATAGACCTTTATAAAAGTTGTATGAATCATGCACTTAGGGTAAAAAATACCTCCACCCTAGATGTCATATAGTGTCATAAGGATAATTAAGATGTTTCATTAATTAAGATAAAACATTTTTCAGACAAGTTCTTTGATATGGTCTCTTACTGTAATTGAAACATTATTTTTGATCATTCGAACAAATTTACATTTGGGCGTATATTACCGTGCTTTTGCATACTCTTGTTCAAGAAATACTGAAGCTATTGTCATGACCCACTAACCTGTGGCTGCACTAGTTAATGCACACAGATATGACTTTATTATGGTTATTTACTTCAATAATTACAATGTTTTAACCAATTTATTAGTGATGTTGCAGTGAGAAAAATGATGAGTGATGCTATTCAGACAGTTCTTGTTTATGTCATTGTGTTAATATTTCTTGTATCATACTGTTGTTTGGGGACCTTTCTGTTGAAAATATATCAGAGTTAAATTGTATACATATATAATATATGCATAGTGTGTTAACTGGAGTGCAGGTATTAGTTACCCACACTCCGGGGATAACCATTGATTGGTTCATTATTGTGTCGCCTCTACGGAGTAGTGGCGACATATAGGGATCACTTCCCCGTCGTCTGTCCTTCCGTCTGTATGTCCGTCACAAAACTTGTCCGGACTACTCCTCATAAACTACTGGTGCAATTTCATCCAAACTTTACAGGAATGATCAGTACCAAGTCTAGTTGTGCTTATTGTCAGCATTTTCCGGTTCAATGATTTTTGTCAGAGTTATGGCCCTTTAATAATTTTTATTTTTAAAGTTTGTCCAGACTACTTCTCTTACACCACTAATGCAATTCTAATGAAACTTTACAGGATTGATCTGTAGCTCAAGTCCTTGCCCATATTGCACGGGTTTTCCGGTTCAGGGTGCCCGTTTGACCCTTGAAATGACTCTTTGTCCCTCCAAATTTCCAAAAGGCCTGATTTGACCCTTGGGATTTTAACTGGAGGGTCAAATTTTGTTAAATTCATGGGGATTTGGCCTTGTAGTCGGTAAAACTTAGTCAAAATGACCCTCAGGATTTCATGGCTAGTGAACACCCTGCGGTTGAATGATTTTTGGCCGAGTTATGGCCCTTTGATAAAAAGGGGTTTTTTCTGTGTGTTGCCAGATACACAAAAGCTTGTCCGGACTACTCCTCAAAAATTACCGGTGCAATTTCATCCAAACTTTACAGGAATGATCAGTACCAAGTCTAGTTGTGCATATTGTCAGTATTTTCCAGTTCAATGATTTTTGTTAGAGTTATGGCCCTTTAATAATTTTTATTTTTAAAGTTTGTCCGGACTACTTCTCTTATACCACTAATGCAATTTCAATGAAACTTTACAGGATTGATCTGTAGCTCAAGTCCTTGCGCATATTGCACGGGTTTTCCGGTTGAATGATTTTTGGCCGAGTTATGGCCCTTTAATTAAAAGGTGTTTTTTTCTGTGTGCTGCCAGATACACAAAAGCTTGTCTGGACTACTCCTCATAAACTACTGGTGCAATTTTATCCAAACTTTACAGGAATGATCAGTACCAAGTCTAGTTGTGCACTGTCCGTCTGTCTGTCCGTCTGTCACAAAACTTGTCCCAACATAAAATTGGCCATCATGAGGCGACACATGTGATTTCTGATCGCTCTTGTTTTTCTGGGGTTTACTTATTGTGAAGAAAGAGAAAGGGATAGGGATAGAAATATCATATTCAGATGCTTGTTCATTGGTTACTTTTTTCTGGGTTTTCATATTGTGACACCTGAGAATGTGTTTTTATTTTTGCATATGATACAAAAGAAAAAGAACACCAAAACATTTGGCAATCTGTTTTATACTTAGGAGCTATGCCCCCGTGTACAAATAAGATAGTCTTGTGGATTCGCTTTGTTGCGTCGGTCGGTCCGTCCATCTCCATTTTCGTGTTCACTCTATAGATCCTATACCAATTGAAGGATTTTCTTCAAACTTGGCTCGAATGTTCACCTCAACAAGGGGATGTGCAGAACCTATGTTGCCCATGTGTCAGCTCAAGGTCAAGGTCACAATTGAAGGTCAAATATCGAACACAATCAAATATAAGACAGTATGTCGTGTCCGCTCTATAAGTCCTACAATAATTGAAGGATTTTCTTCAAATTTGGCTCAAATGTTCACCTCAACAAGGGGATGTGCAGAACCCATGTTGCCCATGTGTCAGCTCAAGGTCAAGGTCACAATTGAAGGTCAAATATCAAACACAATCAAATATTAGACAGTATGTCGTGTCCGCTCTGTAAGTCCTACAATAATTGAAGGATTTTCTTCAAATTTGGCTCAAATGTTAATCTCAACAAGGGGATGTGCAGAACCCATGTTGCTTATGTGTCAGGTCAAGGTCACAATTGAAGGTCAAATAACAAACAATCAAATATTACACAGTATGTCGTGTCCGCTCTGTTACAGACTTTAAGTCCTACACTAATTGAAAGATATTCTTCAATCTTGGCACAAGTGTTCACCTCAACAAGGTAATGTGCAGAACCCATGTCACTATTTTGCAGGCTTAAGGTCAAGGTCACACTTGAAGGTCAAAAATTGACTTAGAAGATATTCTTAAATTTTAACATGTATTTGAATATTTCTGAAACTAGAAAAGGTATTTGCTTGAAACTTAAAATATATATGAAGTGTGCTGGTCAAGTTTCATAACTCTGTATTGCATTTTAAGAAAGTTATGCCCCTTTTATGTCTTCAAATTTACATACAATCAAATATTAGACAATATGTCGTGTCCGCTTTATAAATTCTATACTAATGGAAGAATTTTCTTCAAACTTTTCGCGAATGTTCACCTCAACAAGGTTATGTGCAGAATCCATGTCACCTTTGTGCCGGCTAAAGGTCAAGGTCACACTTGAAAGTCAAAAATTTAACATGTACTTGAATATTTCTGAAACTAGCACAGGTATTTGCTTGAAACTTAAAAGATATATGAGGTGTCACAAATAAGATATGCAGGTCAAGTTTGATAACTCTGTATTGCATTTTGACAAAGTTATGCCCCTTTTTAATTGTTTAAATTTACATACAATCAATACTAGACAATATGTCGTGTCCGCTCTATAAATTCTATACTAATGAAAGGATTTTCTTCAAACTTTACTCAAATGTTCACCCCAACTGGGCAATGTGCAGAACCCATCTTACCCATGTGCCAGCTTAAGGTCAAGGCCACACTTGAAGGTCAAAAATTGACTTATATAATGTTTAGTACATTGGGAAAATGAAAGGTAATTTGTACATGTAACTGTTTCGAACATGATTTGATAAAATATATTTATACTATTACCTGTACAATTAGTCTTTTTTTCACCAGAGTTGATTTCTTTTTATGTTTTTGTGCCACTAAAGTTATTCCCTTAACCACCTTTCCAAGTCGTCTTCTGTTAAGGACATTGGTGGGGGTATAAATCACATTCAGCGATAGTTCTAGTTACAAAAGTGATCACACTTAACATAGTAGAACCAATGGACAGTAAAAAAAACACAACAAATTGTATATAACCTAGACATTTAAAACCAGTGCAGGATAGTACAGAATGACAATAATGACTAAAAAACTTTCTGTAGGAGTCATCCATATATTTATTCAATGACAACCATAAATAAATGGTATTAAAAAAATGTTCATATAAACTTAACATGATGTATTTTAAATTAATTATGTTGTCTTGTTAGTAAAAATGGAATTATTTCTATTCTTTTAGATCTATATCATTGGTTGGTGAACAGGAAAGGAAAGTTTTGAAGGAAATAGTGAAAAAAGCTAAAACACCATTGAAAACCAGAATTGTACCCCAAGGTAAATTATTCATTCATTCAATCAATCATTCAATCAATCAATGATCTGTTAATGAATGTTTTCTTCTCCATTAAAAAATATCTATGTGTGCAGTTTTTATGCAAGATTAAGATTACTTAGTACTTACTATTTTAGAAAAAAAGCCATGAAAACTATTGTACTTGTACTTATTAAACATTTTACTAGTTGTGCTTATTATCCCCCGCCGAAAAGGCGGCGGGGGATATAGTAATTGTCTCCGTCCGTCCGACCTTCCGTCCGTCCGTCCTTCCGTCCGACATTTTTGTCCGGAGCATATCTCTAAATGTATTTGAGTTATCAACTTGAAACTTCATAGGTGGATAGACCTCATTGAGGAGGAGTGCAGTGCACAAGAATGATAACTCTACCCTGCATAATTTTTGAGTTATTGCCCTTTGTTATTTTTTCAAAATTGATTTTTGTCCAGAGCATAACTCAAAAAAGCCTATATGAGATATCAACATGAAACTTCATAGGTGCATAGATCTCACTCAGGAGGTGTGCAGTGCACAAGAATGATAACTCTACCTTTCATAATTTTTGAGTTATTGCCCTTTGTTATTTTTCATACTTAATTTTTCACCTGAGTGGAGCATAACTCAAAAAGTGTTTGAGATATCAACATGAAATGTCATAGGTGGATAGATCTTATTGAGTGGAATGCTGTGCGCAAGAATGATAACTCTTCCCTATACAATTTTTGAGTTATTGCCCTTTGTTCTTTTCATGCTATTTTGTCCTGAGCTTATCTCAAAAAGTATTTGAGGTATCAACTTGAAACTTCATAGCTGGATGGATCTCATTGAGGAGGAGTGCAGTGCACAAGAATGATAACTCTACCCTGCATAATTAGCTCACCTTGCACAAAGTGCAGGTGAGCTTTTAGGATGGCCAACCAAATGGCGTCCGTCGTCCGTCCACATTTTAAATATTCTAAGGACATCTTCTATGATACCGCAAGGGCCAATATTAATGAAACTTGGCAGGAATACTCTTCTAGGAAGCTCTATCAAGATTGTTCAAAGAATTCCATTTCATGCAGAACTCTGGTTGCCATGGCAACCGAAAGAAAAATCTTTAAATATCTTCTTTTAAAGAACCGTAAGAGCTAGAGCTTAGATATTTGGCATGAAACATCTTCTAATGAGTGTCTACCAAGTTTGTTCAAATAAAAGCCCTAGGGTCAAAATTGGCCCGGCCCCAGGGGTCATTGATTTTTCCCTATATGCATATAGTAAAAACTTAAAAAATCTTCTTTTAAAGAACCCAAAGAGCTAGAGCTAAGATATGTGGCATGAAATATCTTCTAGTGAGTGTCTACCAAGTTTGTTCAAATAAAAGCCCTGGGGTCAAAATTGGCCCCGGCCCGGGGGTCATTGATTTTCCCTATATGCATATAGTGAAAAAACTTAAAAAATCTTCTTTTAAAGAACTGTAAAAGCTAGAGCTTAGATATTTGGCATGAAAAATCTTCTAATGAGTGTCTACCAAGTTTGTTCAAATAAAAGCCCTGGGTCAAAATTGGACCCCGCCCCGGGGGTCATTGATTTTCCCTATATGCATATAGTAAAAACTTAAAAAATCTTCTTTTAAAGAACCCAAAGAGCTAGAGCTAAGATATTTAGCATGAAACATCTTCTAATGAGTGTCTACCAAAGTTGTTCAAATAAAAGCCCTGAGGTCAAAATTGGCCCTGTCCCAGGGGGTCATAGATTTTCCTTATATGCATATACAGTGAAAGTTGAGAAAACCGGACGGCTTTCGGACTGAGGGTTTTGTCCGGTTTTCTCAGCGGTCCGGTATTCTCAATGTCCCCTTCAGCTGTTCAGGATCTTATATTATAACCGAGCAATGACTTACTAAGGATGCTGTATATTTGCATTTCAAGATCATGTGTACGTATATTGCTAAATAAAGAAATGATAAGAATACAAAAAAAAATATGTTTTAATTGTTTTTGTCCCATTATTGCATATAAAGACATAAAAGTTTGGATATATTAAAAATGAACAGCAGTTACCTCATAACGATCAAGTCCGAGTACATCCGCATATGTTTACATTTGGGTAATGGGTAATGATTTAACGAATATAGTTTAACTTTATTTGTTTATAATAATAACATATTGGTCAGATTTTTTAAGTAGGTTTCGGCAAAGTTTCACTGTCTTTAATTAATCTAACTTGTCACATGTAGACAGCTCTCGTCGAATTATTTTCGGCCATGGAATAGAACTTAGCGCCGATAAATTTCGTTTCCGTTGCGAAACACAATAGAAAAATACTCTATTTTTTATTCATACTGATTTTAACTGATCAATATCTCGTGCATTTTGGCATTTATATAAAACGGTAACATCTATACCTTACAATAAATCAAACTGTGAAAAGAGACAGTATAAACAAATCAGACAATTATTGTTCTGTTTCCGCTCAGTTAGCGTATTAGACACAACAATTGATAAGTACACAATGTTTTTCACACATTCGGCGTCCGGTATTGTCAGGGTAATTGTCTATATAATTGACTTTGTAGTCCCCAATCAACCGTCCGGTATTCGGTTTTTACAGATTCCGGTATTGTCAATGTTTAATACAATAGTTTAAAGAAGGGAAAATTTGGGACTGAATTATTCGTCCGGTATTTAGAGAGTTCCGATTTTCTCAGCGTCCGGTTTTCTCAACTTTCACTGTAGTAAAAACTTAAAAAATCTTCTTTTAAAGAACCCAAAGAGCTAGAGCTAAGATATTTGACATGAAATATCTTCTAGTGAGTGTCTACAAAGTTTGTTCAAATAAAAGCCCTGGGGTCAAAATTGGCCCCGCCCCGGGGGGTCATTGATTTTCCCTATATGCATATAGTAAAAACTTAAAAAATCTTCTTTTAAAGAACCGTAAGAGCTAGAGCTTAGATATTTGACATGAAACATCTTCTGGTGAATGTCTACCAAGTTTGTTCAAATAAAAGCCCTGGGGTCAAAATTGGCCCTGTCCCAGGGGGTCATAGATTTTCCCTATATGCAAATATTAAAATTTTAAAAAAATCTTCTTTAAAGAACCCAAAGAGCTAGAGCTAAGATATTTAGCATGAAACATCTTCTAATGAGTGTCTACCAAGTTTGTTCAAATAAAAGCCCTGGGGTCAAAATTGGCCCCGCCCCAGGGGGTCATTGATTTTCCCTATATGCCATATAGTAAAAACTTAAAAAATCTTCTTTTAAAGAACTCAAAGAGCTAGAGACAAAGATATTTAGCATGAAACATGTTCTAATGGGTGTCTACCAAGTATGTTCAAATAAAAGCCTGGGGTCAAAACTGGCCCGCCCCGGGGGTCATTGATTTTCCTTATATGTGTATAGCAAAAACTAAAATCTTCTTTGAAAAAAACCCAAATAGCTTTGAATTTAATATTATATACATGAAACATTTTTAAAGTAATATCTACAAAGTTTGTTCAAATAAAAGCTCTCGGGTCAAAAACCTGGCCCTTGCCCCCGGGGTGTCCATTGTTTTTTAAAACTATATGTTGTCACAAAGGGTCAAATAATTTCCGGTGGAACAGAAACAAAACTCCCTGGGCGTAAGGTCACGATTTTTTAATGAATCCAACATAAAAATGGTCTAAAAAATATAATAAAATAATTATATCAATCTTACCAAAATAAATACATAGAAAAACAAAATACAATGAAATAACAAATATACACAATGACCGCGGGGAATAAAGAAAAATACAAAAATACAAAAAAAGATTTTAGCAATTCAATATGTTAATCCTTAATACTATTTTCTTACCACAGGTCTGTAATTAAACTATTTAAATATAAATTGAAATAAGTAAAAGTAAATGTAGATCTATATAAATGTTAAAGTTTTTAAATATGTCTGAATCGAAGAGATGGGCTGTAAAGAGTGAGCGGGACGGGGGAAAACAAAAAGTGCGCAGAAGTAAAGAATATTTTTAAAAAAACCCAAAGGTAAACCCCCTCTACATAGAAAAACATACTAACAAAACCCAAAATTGGATAAGGGTTCAAAAAAAGAAAGAGTGGAAACCCGTGTTCACGATATTGCACGGGTTTAATCGAATTTTACCCTCATTTGACGGAAATTGTTTGTTTTTACCGATTCAATTTCCGGGAAATTTAAACTAACGAAAAACCCCAAACGAAAACCAAAAAAAAACCGCGTGCACGATGTTTTCCGCTTAAATAAAAAATGGAAAGGCCAAAGGCTTTCCAAATTTTCCCTTAAAAATTTTAAATTTGTTTTACATTCTCCCCTGGTAGGAGAAAATGGCTCCTGACATTTTCCTACATTAATTAATTTCCAGAATCTATCAACAAGTTAAAATACATTTTAAATTAATACTACCCTAAACCCTATTTAAGTAAATTCAAGTAAATTTCAGCAATAATTTATTTAATAATTAAACTGAAATAAATTTTAATTTTAAGCCAAAATTTTCCAAAAACAATTACTGAAGTTAAGATTCTGAACATCTGAAAAGTTTCTAATCAATAAACAATTGCGAAAATAATACATCTGCTGAAAAATTAAAATATCAACAATCATTTGCTGAAAATGAAAATATCAAACAATCATTTTCTAATTTGCATCAACCTACAATAAAACACATTTAAAAAACATACTCTATGCTCATTAATGTATACTGGGAAATAGATATTTTAAGGGAAAAAAATGAACCAAGAGGGAATGGTACATTAAAGGCAAATATTGAACATTTTGCCTTTGTAAAGGTAAAAACTAAAATTTTTCAAATTAAAAGGGACTTTCAAACCCTTTTTTTCTGAAAAAAATAAAAATAACATTTTCAAAACACAAATTCAGATTTAAAAGTCAAAAAAAATGCAAATTAAAATATGAATGATTAAAAAAAAAAGGGGATTTTCCTTTAAAAATTTTGGGGAAAAAAATAATACAATTTTATTTACTTGTACTCTCTCGAAAATCTGGGAA